TATATATATATATATATATATATATATATATATATATATATATCATCTGAGAGGGTTACATAGTGATACGAAATATTTCACGAAATTGTTTTTGATCGTGCTTTTGATATGTTTATATATGCAGCTTAACCAGTAGACCATAGTGGCGAGTAGCCTAACGTAGCTTTTCTGGCCAATGTTAAGTCATAAAGCTTATTTCACAATAATGAAAAGGGGTGAAGTCTGAACACTGGGATGCGGTGGGATTTAAAACATATGGGCGTATTAAAAAGAGTTACAAAAACAGGTAGCATGGGAAAACACTCACAGTTCCGTTCTGGATCATAGCCAATAGCTCGTCAACCGTCTGGGCGTGGAAAACGTTGGAGTGCGGGACGTCTCTTCCAGTCACCTGGTCCAGTCCAGCTAGGCAGGCTTCGTTACTGAAGAAGCCGCTTATCAGTCCTGTAAGGAGTCGGCATGCATGTTTACACCCATGTGCCGTTTTAAAGACACTCGTTTGTAGGCATAGGTCTGGTTTACTTTGATAGCCAACGAAACAAAGTCCAATTTTGGATATTGGTCACAGAGCTTATTGGTTAACGATTGCATTTTAAGACCCAGCTTTGTCTATGCCAATTTCAATGCCGAGGCCGATTCTGACTTTTTTGACGTCGTTTAGGGAACGGGTGTCAGCTATAGAACACAAAATAACTTTAACGCGCAAATTGGCCTTGACTTTTGTTTATTCTTTTTCAACCCAAGATACAGCAATTGTAGTTTAATTACATGAAACCCCCATTCAAGGCAAGGCGCTGCTGTTGTTTCAGACCTATGCGTACGTGCACTGTATTTAATGGTATCCAATAAGGCATCTTCGCGCCAAATGCAATTCTCCCAGAAAAATAAAGCAAGTGTGTAAGAACCAAAAATGATTTAGATAGCCAAAGTCCTCTTTGACATTTCCAAGGACATATGTACAGCACTTATTTTTACTCTAGGAGATTCATTATTCCTAATAGCAGATGCCTTTAAGAAGCAAAATCAGGGTGACAGCTAGAGATGAAAAATTAATTTTCTTCTTTTTTTGTCCCTGCAGTTGTTGCCTTTCGTCCCAAAGCACCCAAAACCAACATTCTTCTGTTACCTCTAGATTTAGAAAAGACTTTTGATTCCGTATAGTGGAAATACATTTATTTTGCAATGTATCATTTTTTAAATTTCATTGGAGACATCCAAAATGTATCAAAACCCTCTTCTCTTATGTTTCTGCTGTTGTTGAATAGGATGGACATCTCGGGGTCACTCGGGGTGTGAAAGAGGGGGATCCTCTATTCCCATAAATATTCATTATCTGAATAGAACTGTTCAGTGCTGCGGTCAAATTTGACATAAACATTTATGTAAAGAGATCTTACTTAGTCTGAATACGACATTACACGACTCGCTGATGGCAACACCTTTCTATTTTAAGGAGCATGTTGAGATGCTCTTCATCGTACTTTAAGGACAAGAGAGGACCAGACAACTTTAGGGGATGAGTTGAGGCAGGCGTTCTTGAGGGTTGGGTTCATCTGAGCCAACAAACTGCAGAAACGGGTTAAGTCAGAACCTCACGAATAGAGGACGTGTGTGACACCTACCCGAGATGACTATGTCATTAAATTCTTAATAGTACATATAGCCTTTGGATAACCGCTCTTCTGATCTAATTCCTGGTTTTCTTAACATAAACTTTTCTCTGTAATTTACCGTTTATTTACCATAATTGATCACCAAAAGGTACCAAAAGGAAGGGAATTCCCCAAAAATAATTTAAATTTGTAACTTGAGGGTAGACCATGAAATTATATTAAAATACCAACGAGCTGGTTGTAAGTTCTAGTTTGAACTTGAAATCGCGCATGCAATATTCTTTAAGATATGGATCAAAGAAAGATCACGTCATGCAGATTCCAGAGGTTTGTGGCAGCTACACGACATCCTCACTTGGTGTAGGAATTCTTCATGAAATGTAACATTACAACTGAGCACCAAAAGGAACCAAAATGAAAAAAAAGGTTAAGAAACTTCAGGAGTTAATGGATTTTAATTGAGTCAGTAGTTGAAATCAAAATAAAATACTAATAACCTAGGTGAATGGCGTATCTTGTCTTACAATGTAGTTTGACCTTTTTGGAATCGCAAATACATTAATTTGTCAAAATATTCCATCAATTTAGACATTCTACGTATATTTTAGAACTACAATTAAATAGTAATACCAGAAAAAGAGCGGGTACTCGTGAGGAAAAGAGCCGAAGTGAATAACTGGTTGGAGAAATTTCAACTCGAATGATTTCTTCTAATGCGTGCATACAGGATAACTCACTCACCTATTTTCTTTCCAGTAATATTGAATGGATTAAATCCAGGAAAGGCGAAGAAATAGACCTCGATAGGTTTCAAAAACGGCTTGGAAAATGCGAAAATCTGCTTCCGTTCACGTGTGGTCAGCCACCCGGTGCAGGCGTCGTACCAACCTTCCATAAGTCCTGAAATGATGCCATGTATAGGATAATTCAAGGTAAAATTTATATTCAAATACTTGAATTTCATTATCATGTTCAACTATAAACAAAAGTAAAACATATTGGGAAAGCTTCAGCCCCAATCCAATATAGCACAAAACAGTCTCAGTCAATACATATTAGGATAAAACTGAACAAGTTGTATTCAACCTCGATCGCCATATAAAAGTTGACCTAACTAAAATGAATACCAAACCACTTTGATTATTTCTGACATTAAAGTTTGTCAGCTTCAGTTCACCCAGTCATTAAAAACTCTGCTTCCAAGTGCGATTTTGAAAGAAAGAAAAACATAAAACGAAGCAATATAAGAAATAGGTTTTAACAACCAACTGCTATGGTATAAATAAAAGAATGCTCCATACCTATCCCTCCTCTGTGTGGCTGTCCTCTCTCTGAGAACATGCAGTTGGTGGAAGGCTCCTTGACAACCCTACAATCAATTCCCGCCTCCTGACACACTTAAAAATTAATAATGGAATGAATAAAAATTTTTAATTAAATAAATAAACCATTAACTTTCAAGTTGATATTTTCGCAGTATTATTGCTATCAATGGATGTTATACAACGAAACAAATTGTTCAAAAGAAAATTTAGATTACCTGCGTCTATTAAGTCGTGATTGAATCCAATTGGGAATCCGCTGACGTCCCTGAAAAGTTATACGGAAAGTTAAATTTATCAGATATGCAGATTAACCCCCCCCCCCCCCCATCTCCCTCTCTCTCTCTCTCTCTGACACACAGACACACACACACACACACGCTCGCGCGCACACGGCATGTGGCCAATGCTTCTGCTTACTTATATACATAAGGCCCAGTATCGTATCCAACGGCAATCGTGTAAATTCTTCTTTCGTTTGAGGCCTGATATCGGTTGATGGCGTCATAGGCCCTACTGGGAGGCTGATTTTGCTGAATATTTGCCGTTGTACCCTGGACTGTAATGTCAGAGCCAGCAGGGTTGGAGATTGCGACGGCTGAGATGATGAGTGCAACTATCGCAATCAATATACATATCGCTATGGTTATTGTCGGTATGCGGGTGCCTGGAAATAAGAAATGAAGGGCTTAACCTGAAAAGAGGAATGCAAAAATCGAGAACTCTTAAATCAATGAAAAAAGAAAAAAAAATACGACATTAATTCACGTTGAAAATTTAATACTATGAAAGAAAATAGCATGATCATTCTCTTTTATATATTGTCTTCATCATTTAATTCATTATGTACATGCACAGAGGGGCGACAAAAGTATTGCAAGTAGTTTCTACCAACGGTGAAAGGTGCTGGTCCAGAATTTCAATGTAAAGCTCGTGGCTGAGATTTAATTTTATCAACACCAGTTCACAATGCACCCATAAAGGATTATTGAAGTGGACTGTCTAATGAGAAAATGCAAATATTCTTTGACATAGGCCTATAAGAAGTGGATGATGCTCTCCATACTTTTGCCTGTCCATCCATGTTGTTCACAGTGAAGATGGTCTCTGCCGAAAATGGGATCAGTTCTGACCTACGGTCCATCCAATACGGGTTTTCAGCAATGGTTCTTCGTCTGTTCACCAAGGTGATAAGTGGTTTCCATCTGGGAACCCTATGTGGATGCCTGAAGCATGAAACTTTCACTAAACATCTCTTTTGCCAATCTCTACCTGTAAATTGCACCACCACTGCAAAGCTAATTCGTTGCATGGTTCAATTCTCCAAGTCTTGACAGCATAAAGAGATGCCTGTCGTCTCTGGCACAAGACTTCTTCGGGCGGTCATTTCTTGTTGACTTATGGGCATCACCAGTGTCCTCCATCCTTTTACAAAACTTATAAACAGACTGACCACACACCACATCTGGTGGCTAACTGGGGACATATGTACCCTCCTCCCTTAGAGGAACAATTCCTTTTCTTCCTTCATTTGTGAGCTCCCGTGCTGGCACCTGCACCATGGTAGAAACTTGTCAGCCAGAAGGGCGTTTCACCTTCGATGACACCCTTTATAGTGCGCATGGATGAAAATCCGTCGCTGGTTAGAGAACAGTAAACCGCAAATCACTTTTTACTAACGGGTCCCTCCATATCAGCGAACTATTCACATAGAAGGTGCAATACCCCTATACTTTTGTCACCCCTCCGTACATGTTCGTCACGTTGAATATTGGTTACAATAAATGAAATCGCGTACAGAAAATCGCTGCTGTAGTAAAATGTTTTCTGGTTAAAAAAGACATTTGTCCAAATCCTTTCTTAGGCAAATTACCTTCGATTTGGTTGGTTCTCGTAACATGGTTGACATTGCTGTCGCCCCTTGCACCCGACATCTTGAATTAGAGGTCTCGAGGAAGGTCAAATGTAATGTAATCCCCATTCGTTCATGCTAGGCACGGACTGCCCCTGTTAACGTTAAAAAGAGTAAAAAAAACACCTTACATATGCAAATGTAACAACTTGTTATACTCCACCAGGTGTGCATAAAGCCTGCAACCAACACCGAGCATAGTTAAATAATAGTCAAATATATGTATTCGCACTTTTACTTTAAATGATATGTCCCTTAATTAAAAGTGTGAATTATTAACAAACTGTGCAAAATCGCGGTCTAAAACGTTTGCTCACAGAGCAAAAAAAAAAAAAAAGCCTACTTATCATAAAAATCATTCCTGAATTGATTCCAATGAAAGTTGATTCAGGAAATTACAGTGAATGATAATTGCATGCCAAGAGCAATTTCCCCCCCCCCCCCCCTTTTTTTTTTTTTTTTTTTTTTTTTTTTTTANCCATTCGTTCATGCTAGGCACGGACTGCCCCTGTTAACGTTAAAAAGAGTAAAAAAAACACCTTACATATGCAAATGTAACAACTTGTTATACTCCACCAGGTGTGCATAAAGCCTGCAACCAACACCGAGCATAGTTAAATAATAGTCAAATATATGTATTCGCACTTTTACTTTAAATGATATGTCCCTTAATTAAAAGTGTGAATTATTAACAAACTGTGCAAAATCGCGGTCTAAAACGTTTGCTCACAGAGCAAAAAAAAAAAAAAAGCCTACTTATCATAAAAATCATTCCTGAATTGATTCCAATGAAAGTTGATTCAGGAAATTACAGTGAATGATAATTGCATGCCAAGAGCAATTTTCCCCCCCACCCCCTTTTTTTTTTTTTTTTTTTTTTTTTTTAGAAAATTGAGCATCACTGTAGGTTTCCTTAATTAAAACCCTGGAATGCATTGATCAGCAAAAGCGAATAAAAAGTAAATTACAAGCATTCTTACTTCTCTTAATCTTCAAGGGGTTTTATAGGTCAAAGCTGTCACGGTTGCTTAGGTAAATAGTTTCTTTCCATCCCTAAATTCAACCACGTCATACGCGTTCCAATACACGTTTAATTGTCTCAGTGCTGGTTTATTTGATACACTTTCCTCCTTTCGTATATGAATATGAATATGCCTACATGTTTGTATATGCATGTATAACAACCTTAACAAAAACATCGTTTTCAAGTTTTGTTAATATGTTTACCTATTGTCTTAGTCGCAGGTCTAAAAGGGCTATAAGTTTTTTTATCTATACCACAAACAGGAAATTTCAGAAATACCTATTTCAAACTTTTGAAAAGATCTTAATTCTTAGCATAATATACTCCTCTGCCTAAATAGGTGTCAACCCTAACGCAATGCGTTAAGTGATACAGAAAACATGTCTTGAACCAATGTTCTTTATTCAACTTTTTTCACTGAAATTTACTGATTGTTCCACCTGTGAATAAGCTAACCAATCAAAGTCGCATTTTGGTATTTTGTATAGTATCTTCTGGATTAGAGGACGCACCTGACGCGTCTGTGCATGGAGTCAAAACATTCTGTAACTTTTGTTCACTTTGCTGAAGTAGTCTCTTAAATTAAACCAGGAGCCTCGTGCGTCAAATATTTATTTGAAAATTGAAAATATGACAGCGTACTTCGATTATGAACAATTCTGTTTTTCTTGTCCGAAGACGACCTTTCCTTCATAAAACTGTTCATTTTGTCAAAAAAGATAATAGTTAATAGAAATTAGTGAATTGTAAAATTATGATAACTATCAACTGAAGCACTGAGGTTATGTATATGCTTTAATAAGCCTGTTGGCATTACTTCCTTATGTTTCCTTAAAAAAGAACCGCTGGTCTGAAATTGATATCGTTGGTGGTCATCCTATCATCAACATGAAATTCGCACATCATCAATGGACTTTCGGTTCTTTTCATTAGATTCATTTATATATTTCGTCTTGACTTCTTGTAAGTTCCACAAGTTGCCATAAGGTGTAGTTTACGGATGCCTCGTCCTGTGGTTTAGCTATCAAGATGAAGGCCATAGATATCTTCTGGGATTAAGACATCAAAGTTCAGGTTACGGCTGCCTATATCTTTGTTTTAACCATCAAGGTGAAGGTTACGGATGCATAGTTTTGTGATTTCGCAGTCAAGGTGAAGGTTACGGACCCCAGCTGTTGTTAGGCATCCACACACTCTATCTCACCGCGATGACCTGTTGAGACAAACGTTACAATGTATGTGACGTTAAATGAAACCACGTGTCGATCATGAATGTAATATTTATACTTGAAATAATACCTCACGCGATATCTTAATTTGACTGTCCAAGTGACTCCAAACTTGGAGTACAGCAGTGGTGCCTAAAATAACTCCAAATTGGAGTCAAGTTAACTCTGATGGAGTAACGCCATCCTAGACCCCACAGTAGGGTCACAATTGACTCCATTCACACATCCCTTCATCCCTTGATTTACCTCTACAAAAGCGTCACCATCACCCCATATTAAGGAATTTTTGACTCCTTGGGGGAAAAAACAACAGCAACAGTGCCAAGCGGGGAGACAGCAGGTACCATTTATTAAAGACCGGTATGTCCCCGGTTGAGTTCGAAGCGAGGTCCTCCCGCTCCGGAGGTGGACACTCTAACCACGAGGCCATCCGGTCACATGTCTTGTGGGAACAGCAATTACAAACAGTTTGTAAATCTGGTAATAAACAGCATGACACACACACACACACACACACACACAGTGACCTTCCTCCCCATTGACATGCATTGGCGGGTCAAACCTACAACCTGTAAAAAAACCCTGCTGACCTAGGTACCAATATATTACATAAAGGGTGTGGGCAACTGAAAGCCCGGGCCAGTAGTAAGTGCACGAGTTCTGTATGCAGAGAAACACAGAAAATCACTTGTTCATGCATAAAACCAACTATGGCCTATAAAGTCATGTTTATACTGACATCGCTTACATTACCTAGCCTGAATTTGCAATTATCAATACACGTATTGTTATTTAAGTAATAGATTCTTAATTATTATGAACATACTAAGTAATCAAAACTGCCTAACATTACTGAAATTGTTAATCAATAGTATTTTTAAGACGTACCGTGCTTAATCCGTGCCTCATCACATAGCCGTTTAAAACGTCCTGAAGAGACCAGTTTCTCAAACCCTTCATTCCATTTAGAGTTGAAGTCGTTGTCTTTACGGGTCATCATTCCAGGTTGTCCGGCATTCTTGCAGAACATGGGATCCGATGGGAACCGTTGGATATTAGTGCCATTGATTTTGGTGGCCATAGAAGGCCCCGTGCTAAAACCCACGTCTACCTGTAAGATTTAGGAAGTATTAAATGGTTGGTAAAGAATAGAGCTTATTTAACAATAATAAAAAAAGGGGTGAAGTCTGAACACTGGGATACTGTGGGATTAAAAACATATGGGCGTATTAAAAATAGTTACAAAAACAAGTTAAATTTAGGGAGTATTAAATGATTGGAGAAGAAAAATCCAATTTCGACATTTCGATATTTTTATATACATGTATATGCAGATGCACAATTTCAGTTTAACGAGTGGACAATAAAAGGGCAGGCTTACCTACCATTTCTGTCCCGTTTCTAGTCATAAAGCTTATTTCACAATAATGGAAAGAGGTGAGGTCTGAACACTGGGATGTTGTGGAATTTAAAACATATTGTCGTATTAAAAAGAGTTACAAAACAGGTAACACGGGCAAACACTCACAGTTCCGTTCTGGACCATAGCCATTAGCTCGGCAGGCGTTTGTGCATGAAAAACGTTGGAGTGCGGGACGTCTCTTCCAGCCACCTGGTCCAGTCCGGCTAGGCAGGCTTCGTTAGTGGAGAACCCGCTTATCAGTCCTGTAAGGAGTCAGCATGCAAGTTAACAAAGTTAGCCGACGAAACAAAGTTTTTTGTTTATATTGGCTAAAGAGCTTTTTCAGAATGATTGCCTTTTAAGATCCAACTTTTGTTAATGTCAATAATCTGAAAAGTTAATAGTCTAAATCAAAATAAAATACCTATGACCGGGGCGAATGTTATATCTTGTCTTTCAATGTAATTTGACCTTTTTGGAATCACAAATTCAATATCTTGTTAAAATATTCCATCAATTTAGACATTCTACATGTAGTTCTGGACCATCTACACGGTATAAAAAGTTTTTAAAATAGTTGTACCAAAACTATTGAAACTATCGAAAAGAGATGAAGTGAATTACTGAATGGAAAATTTCAACTCAAATTATCTCTCCTAATATCTGATACAGGATAACTCACCCATTTTTTTCCCAGTGATATTGAATGGATTAAACCCAAGAAAGGCGTAGAAATAGACCTCGTATGGTTTCAAAATCGGCTTGGAAAATGCGAAGATCTGCTTCCGTTGACGTGTAGCCAGCCATCCGATGCAGGCGTCGTACCAACCTTCCATCAGTCCTGAAATGATGCCATGTAAAGACAAAATCAAAAATCTTTACTCCAATACTTGAATTTCAATATCATATTCAACTATAAACCAAAAACAACGATTTATAAGTGTTAAAACATACAGGAAACGGGTCAGTTCTAGTTCCAATATATCATGTAACAGTCTCAGTTTAACTATACATTTTAGAATAAAACTGAACAAATAGTGTTAAACCTCGATCGCCATATAAAAATCGACCTGACCAAAGTGAATTGTTTTGTTGCCAGCTTTACCAAACCACTTTGATTATTTTCTGACATTGAACTTTGTCAACTTCACTTCACCCAGTCATGAAAAACTCTGCTTCTAAGCGCGTTTTTTTGAAAGAAAAAAATAAAACGAAGCAATAAAAGAAACTGCTACGATGTAAATTAAGTAATGCCCTGTACCTATCCCCCCTCTCTGTGGCTGCCCTTTCTCTGAGAACATGCAGTTGGTGTATGGCTCCGTGACAATCCTGCAATCTATTCCCGCCTCCTGACACACTAAAATAAATAGATAATTTAATAAATATATATATATAAACGATAAATTAAATAAATAAACCATTGACTTCCAAGTTAATATTTTGTAGTGTTAATGCAGTGTTCAATGTTTTAAAGGATATTTAAACAAGAACCAAACAAATTGTTAAAAAATATTTTTGATTACCTGCGTCTATTAGGTCGGGACCGAATCCAACTTGAAAGCCGCTGTCGTCACTGAAAAGTTAGACGGACAGTTTAAGTCATCAGATTTGCAGATTTTACGCAAACCCCTCCATTTGCTCTGCCCCCCCCCCCCTTCACACACACACACACACACACACACACACACACACACACACACACACACAATTTGAGCTATATTTCTGCTTACCTATATACATAAGCCCCAACATCGAATCCAATGGCCAGCGTGTAAACTCTCCTTCTATTAGAGGCCTGACACCGGCTGGCGTCATAGGTACTGGGTGAGTATGCTACTGCAGGCTGGGGAGTTTGTCGAGAACTTGTCGTTTTACCCTGGACTGTAATGTCAGAGCCAGCGGATTTGGAGATTGCGACGACTGAGATGATGAGCGCAACTATCGCAATCAGTACACAAACCGCTATGGTTATTGTCGTGGTGGGTGGAAGAGAAGAAATAAAGGGATCGACCTAATTTTTTTCTTCCTGCATGTTTGAGCTCCCGTACATTCACCATGGTAGAAACTTGACAGCCAGAAGGGCGTGACACCATCGATGACACCCTTTACAGTGCACATGGGCGAAAATACATCACTGGTTAGACGAACAAAAAAACGCAAATCACTTTTTACAAACGGGTCCCTCCATATCACACAGCGAACTATTCATATATATATTACAATACCCCCGCACATTTGTCATCCCTCTGTACATGTTAGTCATGCTGAGTATCGGTTACAATAAATGAAATCGAGTACAAAAAATCGCTGCTGTAGTAAAATGTTTTCAGGTTAAAGAAAACATTTGTCCAATTACCTTCTAGTTGGATGGTTCTCGACACATGGTTGACTTTACTGTCGCTCCTTGCATCCGACATCTTGTGTTAGAATGTCTCCAGCAAGGACAAATGTAAATAACCTCCATCTATGCATGATAGGCACGTATTGTGCATGTTAACATAAAAAAGGGTAAAAAAGAACCAGCTTAGTTATGCAAATGTCACTACTTTTTATACCCTACCAGGTGTGTATAAAGTGTTTACAGTACAGTTAAAGAGTACAGTTAAATGATATTCAAATGTATGTGTTCACACATTTACTTTAAATAATAAGTCCCTTGATTAAAATGCACTACAATTAACAAAGTGTGAATTCATTAACAAACTGTGCAAAATCGCGGTCTAAAAATTTGCTCACATAGCAAGAAAAGACCTAGGCAACTTATATTGATTCATTAAAAAAATAGTGAATGATAATCGCATGCCAAGGGCATTTGCAGCCCCTGTGCAGATTTCGCTCTTTTAGAAAATTGAGCTTCGCTGTATGTTCCCTGCTTAAAATTCTGAAATGCATTTTAACCAGCAAAAGCGAATAAAAAGTAAATTACAAGCATTCTTACTCCTCTTAATCTTCATAGGGTTTTATAGGTCAAAGTTGTCACGGTTGCTTAGGTAAAACAGGTATTCTTTCCATCCCTAAATTCAAACACGTTATGCGCGTTCCAATACACGTTTAATTGTTTCAGTGCTTGCGTCCAAGTCAGCAAAATTATCACGAATCAACAGAAACCGCCTTTAAAAAATTATGGTTATGAGTTTAAAAGTACATGTAGATGTGTTTGCTACAAGGCTAAGTGTCGACATGATTTCTGAGAAAGTAAAACATTTTGCACCCATCGAACAATACCAATTCCATATTCTGCTGAACAGGGTCACGGATTGGTCACGGATAGTTAGATATGGTGCACGTGCATACGTTGTTGACTACGGACTGAAGCTAATCCGAGTTTTGATTGGTGGATCCAGCGGCTGTGATTCTAAAGGTTTATTTGCCTAATACACTCTCCTCTCGTATTCGTAAAATATGAATATGCCTACATGTATGTATATGCATGTATAACAATCTTAACAAAAACATCGTTTTCAAGTTTTGTTAATATGTTTACCTATTGTCTTAGTCGTAGATCAAAATGAGGCTCTCATTTTTTTTTCTATTAACCCATTACAGTGACGTCATATTTACTCCGTAACACTAGTCCCGCGGCCATGCTGGAGGGAATGAACGACGGGGAATAGTAGCGGTAATAGAGGTGAACCAAATAAAATAAAATAAACTTCATATCGCGATCAAGTACACCAAAGGGAAAAGGATAAATACAAGCTGAAGCTTCAGCTGATCAGCAGGATCGACCAATATGAACTCAAGACAGTCTAAAAACGTGAAATCCTACCAAATGCTACTTATCCAACATCGTGTTGTCACAAGATAGTTCAGTTATCTTGTACTTCATTTTTCTTGTTCATTGGGTAATGACAGTTATAGTTTGAGAGAGTTTATTGTTAATTGTGTAATCATAAGTTTAACCTTACATAGAAGCAACTTTTTACATAACGGATAGATATAAGGAGAAATTTTGAGCTGATCATCAGGATAAACCCTTGTGGACTCAAGGAAGAATGTATGCAGGATTGTCTTATGACATGAAATATTGCTGTCAGTTATGACTTATCTCTACATCGTGAAGCTGTCAGAAATTATTTCAGCATTCTTGTACTTCATTTTGGTTCATTAGAAAGTACGTGTAACAAGACTGTTGTTTGAGAGAGTTAAATATTCACCATGAATGCAACCATTCATATAAGCAACGTTAGGATTTTATTATTATTCAGTCATTCACAGAAGCAAGGCATTTTTAACACTTATGTATTTATGATGTCCAATGTAAAATAACAATAATGCAGTTCATGAATTGATCTTCATTTCTGCAACCATTTGCTTAAACATATAGGAAAAGTACACATTTTGCATGAATAAAAGTGAACATGAAATGCTGAGTTCTGAGTGTCGCTTCAATTAAATAACTCCTGTCATGCACTGGATTTCACTCTCCTGATTTTCAGATCCTGTCTCCTCAGCTGGTCATAAAGATCTAGGAATATTTTTTGCTGCTTCTACCTTGCGTGTCATCTACTGTAGCTGCCTTTTGTACCTGTCATCAAAAGCTTCCGTTTTTATTTATTTATTTATTTTTTTAATAATTTACTTGCACCCAATCATTGTGGNTAATAATGCAGTTCATGAATTGATCTTCATTTCTGCAACCATATGCTTAATTATATAGGAAAAGTACACATTTTGCATGAATAAAAGTGAACATGAAATGCTGAGTTCTGAGTGTCGCTTCAATTAAATAACTCCTGTCATGCACTGGATTTCACTCTCCTGATGTTCAGATCCTGTCTCCTCAGCTGGTCACAAAGATCTAGGAATATTTTTTGCAGCTTCTACCTTGCGTGTCATCTAGCTGCCTTTTGTACCTGTCATTAAAAGCTTCCGTTTTTTATTTATTTATTTTTATTTTTTTTAATAATTTACTTGCACCCAATCAGTGTGGCTTGGTGGGAACTGCCTGATCAATTTCCTAAATGTAAATTAATAGAAAAATAACATTGTGATTTTTATTCATATTGTAACTTACAACATTACAGTTGAAAGGAGCAGAATTTAACATTTTTACAGAGGAAAGTGCAAATTCATTTCATGAGGTTATATGTCAATTACACCTGAGGTAGAATTTACTTGCAAAATAAAATTACTCTTATCACTACACCAAATCGAAAATTAAGCCACTAACTTCCAAATACACTTCATACAGGTCATTGATTTAATTGGCCCAGCTCAGCTGTGTACAGTACAAATATAGCCTTGACACTAATTGGCAATAATGCTAACCAGGTATTAAAGAGGTAGGTGACAGCCGATAAAATCTAGAGAGCACCGTAACTGATAACAAATTACACCCAAGGCAATGGGTGAGTCTTCATTATAAAAGTCGAAACCCTGCCTGGGTATTTCCACATGTTTTAACAAATTAACACACTCTCCACCCAAACTTCTTTAAATGAATATGCAGTGTACGTGTGCTCCAAACGTACACACCTAGGTCTTTGGTTTTGTACTGTTTTTTTCTTTTATGGTAAAATCTGCACAGCTGGCTCTTCATTCTTTGCTATAAAATAGATTAATTTTATTCCTTTAGGCCCCTACTTAATTTTCAAAGCCACCTCGCCGACTCTCCTCCGTTTATGGTTTTAGTTCCTTCATCGTGGATTGTTACCATTGCAGGCAAGTGTGAACGCTTGTAAAGTTAGTTATCTTTTCTCGATCAAATAACCTGCAGTAATTCATCATTTTGCTCGGTTAATTATCAAAGGAAATACAGAAAACGAAAAGTGAACTACTGACATGGCTTGTTCATGCGCAGCAGACGATTCCGGTCTCCCTCCAGAATGGCTGCTGTTTGTTTTGATGACGCAGGCTCTAATGGGTCAACTGCTGACAGCAGGATATTAGAACTTGGTCAAGAGTGTAATACTCTGCCCTCGTTTAGGTAAAACAGAAAAGTAATTTACTGCTCGTAATAAAATGAGTTGGGTGAATAAATTAAGCGAAAATATTAAATTAAAATACTGATGTGATTTAGAAGTGGCTCAAAATTTCAAATCTTGATTAATCTAACCAACACAGGCAATCTTGCATTGCAAGTTGCAATTAGCAATTTGACAAAACAAGAAACAAATCACTGTATTATGATTTATTAAAATGATTTCCATTATAACAAAACAGCTTGTCTCCATTCACAGACAGCAACATTTTGCAATATCTGCACAATGATATGCATAGCTTGAACACAAGTAAGCCTAGACTTTCAATATCAACATGATTCAAGCATAATCCAGATTAAAAGAAGTTTAGCAAGGATTAATACCCTAATAACATGATTATAGTTATATAAATGGTCTTTTGAAGACTCAGTAGCATTCTAGTACATCAGCTTTACACCACACGTATTAGATGCAAGCAAAGGTTTGTAGTAATTTGTTTACTGATGTGCAGTGGCATTTGCCAAGTAGGAGTTTATGCAAGCAGTAGTATTGTGCTGGGATTCAATTGCACTTAAATGTTCCCTGAAGTTCAAAATGTTACATATACATGTATCCTTCATGGAGTGTATCCTCCCAGAAAACCTATTTAGTATATCATATTTTTCCAAATAAGAACAACTTTTGTTATTAAGACTGCAATGAAGGTGGAATTTGAAGAAGCTTGAACTTACACTACTTTTTCTTCTACAGGATGTTCAATCTCCACGTGTCCCATATCCTTTTTTGGCTTGGATCTTCAATGGATACCTCAATGTTTACAACTTTTCTTATACCTCAAATGTTCAACAGTGACTTGTGGGAAAGGACAAACTTAAGCTAAGCATACATTTAACTTCATGGTGTGTATCACTTAACACCATCTTGATGATAATAATAATAATAATAACAACACTGTTCAATTTCATGTGTTCGCTGTTGAGAAACAATATTTGTATATTTTACATGCAATGAAACCATCAATAACCTTATTAATAAGTCAACAAGTGAGCCAGTGATAAAAACAACATGGAAGACTCCGTTGATTATCCATATAACAATCTGCTGAACTCCAGTTCCTGTTAATCATCTTATCCCTTCTGTTCATATGCTATGGAAAAGGCTCCTATGTTTCAATTTTTGTGTTAATTCATAAGAGTAAAAAATCCTTCTATACATTAAACTATCTTCTTAAATCAAAAACTGCATCTATCTTACACTGTATGCTATCCGGGGTCTAGCAGCAACAAGCCTGTGAGATACAAGTGATCAATATCAAAATTTTAAGTATGATCAGATATGAAGAAAAACACACACCTAAGGTTACATTTTGTGAAATCATTCAATACAACTGTGACAGATGATGCATTGTTTTACAAACACCTGTCTGACTTTTTTCCACAAATGTTAACATTATTTAATAATAGCAATTATGCAATCACCTACATTTTCAATTCAAACACAATTTCACCTTCTTATTAGCTAAAATCTCAGTCCAATACAGATAGATGTGTGTACTAAGTGTTAGCTACATACAATAAACCTACCCTCAGTAATAAATATGCTCCCTCCCATAGAGGTGGGTTGTTAATTGGTATAAATATATGCT